TTTATGCACGCAACAAATCATTTGTATGTGTAATGCAATTTGCATAATTTGCACATTTACATTGAATTCTACAACTGCAATAGAAGCAATAATAATTAAGTTAAATTATTTTATGGAACTAATAAAATTCAGAAGCAGTGCACGTAAGTTGCAGATACATGCCTCTCTGCCACAATTCGTATCCTAATAAACAAATGAAACTATGAAATTTTCTATAGCCAGTTTAATATCCTTGTTAAGTTGGAAATGAGTAAATAAACCACTGTACGAGGGGGAAGAGTTATTAATCGATGTTCGGTATTTACAAAAAAAAGGAACATTAAAAAGTACAACATTTTTATTTAATCTTTTAATTTTGTTGGCATTTCATTAATAAATACCAATTTATAATAATTTCTAAGCACATCATTTTTAAACAGTACTTTAGTTGGTGCCCTCGCCTATAGTGCACTTATGATATTAGCTTTAATACTGGCGTAAATTTTACAACTTAAGGGCTGAAGCAAATGACTGCTAATAAAATATATTAATTAATAAACTCATAAATCCGAATAATTAAAATAATTTAACAAGTGTTAATAGTGCATGAAGTGAGGCATATGTTAATAATCCTTGCTATCCTGCCCTGCAAACATACAAGTATGGTTCTGCATAAATTAAGTGAATGGGTTCTCAGTAGTTTCATTTGCTCGTACAATATATGGATTCATTTTTATGCTGGTATGTAGTGTAAATTTTACTTAAATTTATTTGCATTTATGCTTTTGCATATTTATAATATTAATACAATCTAACTGAAATGATTAAAATATATCCGAAAGCCAAATGGATTACCAGTTGTTATTAAATATTTAATTTATGTTTATGAGGCTAAGTTCGGATTAGTGAAAATTAGTACAATTTACAGCAATTAACAATTTTACTGTTGTTTTTATAATGTAATTAAATATTGTCCTTCATGACATTTGTTAGCACACATGGTATTAAATGTTAATTACAACAAAAGTTTGAAAAGAACATTTAATCCCGCATTATAAAAACAATTCATTAAGGATGTTTGTGAGATATTTCAGACATACAGGTTTGTTTTCACAGTACGATTTTTTTCTGCTACTACATACTACAGATTCACTGAAATAACTTTAATGTACTACATGTACTTCTGTTACATTTATTTTATCTCAAATTAAGATAATAATTAAGATAGTATAATGTAATATACGTTTACCGATTTACTAATATATCTTTATAGTACTTCCTTAGCTTTTCTTACATATAGTTCCGTCCATAATGAGGTTTTTGTTTTGATATATATTCTAAGCGTTTACCTGAGATACCTCCATATTATATCTTGTACTTCTATGACGTATATTTTGTCCTACAATGAGATCAGGACTCTCAAATATATAGTTACTGATTAGATAATATGCCTTTATAGTACTTCTTGCGATTTTCTTACAAAGATTTAATGTTTTATTAATATTTTCGATTTAGAATATATGCTAACCTCTATCCTCTATGGATACCTCTATAGTACATCTTGCAGTTTTATCACATGTATTTAGTCACACAATGAGATCAGGGTTCCAAAATATGTGTTTACTGATTAGGTAATATATATTTACAGTACTTCTTGCTATTTTCTTACAAAGATTTAATTTTTTATTAATATTTTCGATTTAGAATATATGTTAACCTCTATCCTCCAGGGATACCTCTGTAGTATATCTTTGCAATTTTGTCACGTATATTTAGTCATATAATTAGATCGCTGCTTTAAAATATAAGGTTACCAAATACCTGATATACATTTATAATACCTCTCCTGATTCGCATTGTAGGATCATTATTCTAAAACATAGATTTACCAATGAACTGACATATCTTTATAGCTATAGTATAATAGTATAACTATTTAGTTATATTTCATACCTGATTGTGATCTTGATTCTAAAATAATATATATTATATGGTTATCGATTGCCTGATATGATTTATAGTACTTAATGTGCTTATGTTTTATCTCATAGTACTTATGCTTTATCTCATAACGAGATTTTTGATTTGAAATGTATAACTACCAATAACCACTTCTTGTACTTCAATATACTATTTTTTAACGTCATTTAGAGTTTTATACATTGATATACATTTATACATTTATCATATTAAATCAATTGATGCCCTTTTGCAAGTTACTTTAATAATAATAAAAACTCAGAATCAATCTGTAACTTGGGATGAGATAATATTTTTATCCATTCAGAAAGAAAATGAGAACTATATAGAGCTTTACTGCAATAATATACCAGGGCTTCACATCCCTTGAAGAGACTCATCTTCAATCTATAAAAGTATTAAAAAATAAAATATTATAAATTATTCGAGAATCTAAACAGAACTCCGTACAGGGTACTTTAGATTAAATTGTAGCCTTTTATAACTAGGAACGTACTCTAATATTAGGTTTTGTAGAGAAGAGACTGAGTCCTCTATCAACATGCTCACATCAGTGCCTAATTAGCTTTGCTTCTGTACCATACTATTCCATTTGGCTATCCTGACGAATCTACTTCTGAGGCTGTTATTTCAAGAGTCTATTTTGATTCAGAAGTTCTTTCTCTTTTAGATACGAACAATTTAAAATAAGATTAGCTGTAGCACAAGTAGACGTTTCTTTTCGAATGCAAATATTCAAATAATTGTTACTGCAACGCCACTAAATAATTATGAACACATTTCGTATTGTTCATGAAGCATATTCGAATATTAGTTCTATATTAATCTCATAGTCTATATTAATTTTAGACTCAGAAGTCTATTTACAACATTTATTACAATTAATATATTAACTTTTATACATATGTTTTTGAAATAACAGTGAAGCATGCTTATATACAGCACTTTTTTGCTTTATAATATTTTGTCACTTTTATTAATGCTATGCATTTCTTGACAGTTGAATATTTTAAAAAAAGCAGTGTCTTTACAAAAAGCAGTGTGACTTACAAGGTCTGTTATGTTATCTCTGAGTATAGTTTTTTTATATTTTTTAATTAATTGAATTTTTGGTTAACCATGCAGCTCTTTCGAGTGTTCTTAAATATCTAACATTAGTGGTCTTTTTGAAATTATTTCTTAAATTAAATTTTGATTTTGAGAATTTTATATATCTTAATTAGTTAAATTATTTGTAAATAGTTTCTTAAGATTACAAGTACTACTCGTGAAACCTATACCCTTTCAACTGAGAATCAGCATTGTTTAGTCAACTTGAAGTTTTGTTAATTTGCTGTTAAAGTTCCGTAACAAACTCATTTGCTGTTTTATATTAAAACGATATCATAAGCCAGATTTATGCCATATAATATATAATTATGGTATGAAATAATTACAGTTATTATTATTGTTTTTAGGCGATGTGGCACTGTGACCGTCGGATCTGTTGTGCCCACTTCTGAGTTTAGAATAGTTCTTTAAGTTCTGTTGCGTTAATAAAAAGTAGTACAGACCCAACTTTACAGAGTTTTATTGCCTCATCCGTAAGAATATACATTACCAGGAGCCTATTCCATATTTGCATTAGCATATGACATGTTTGGCCGACTCCTCACTCCCTTCACAGAATCTACAGTTTGTATCCGTAAGTAATTATAGTTGCTATAGTTTAAATTTCAGTACTGTTCCTTTTACTATAGAGGTATTTGTTTTCAAAAATAGTTTACTGCAATTTCAAATTTTGTCGAAATCATGTTTGGTCAGGCTTTGCACCATTTTTTGGTTATGTTTCATTAATAAAACTTAACTTTGTTTTTATTAGTGTTTATACTCTTTAAATTTTACTTAAAAATCTGTTTAACTTCTATGTTTTTTTATATAATAATAACCGTAATTTTTTTTTTTCAGAGTAGCAAAAAAACACTCGTAACTTATGATGCAATGCTCTTAAAATCTTTAGAATTAGGTTTTACTCACAAAAACTTTTTAGTGCAGCCAAATTCAAAAATCAGTATATTGTGAATATTCACTGGATATATGTTGCGAAATCGGCGATAGTTACATAGAATACTATATAATAACAAAACGAATATAAAAACTAATTTTATTTATTTTTGTCTAGCCTTTTTATCAAAAAATACATAAAGAATTAAGCTCTGAAATTATTTACAAAAACTGACTGACTTTCCAACACCGCGTTATCAAATCTCAGAATGGTTACAGGCTCCTCGGAGAGGTAGGCAGATCTGAGGTCAATTATTGCTAAGTCTGATGAAGTAATAAACAATAATCCAGTCAAGGCGTAGTTAAGGGTTATGAAGAAACCTCGCAGTTAATAGAGAGCAAAAGTGCTCAAGTGCACTGACTCAACTAGACTCAACATAATTATAAAAAAGTGCACTAAAAAAAAATTATTTAACAATCTCTGTTGAAATTTTTACAAGAACAAGGTAATACTTTTCTTCACTGTATCTATGAAACTATTAAATGAAATCAAACTAAGCGTATCGGCAGAGTCAACATTTCAAGTGATTTTCATACAAAGTACATTCTTGGCAAATAACTTCACCTAATTGAATAGAAAAACAAATGTTTCCCGTGTAATCACACAATCAACGCAAATAAAGTGTTTTAATAAAATGTTTGATAAATTTGTCGAAACGTTATTTACGGAGAAGGACATGCTGCCAACCCAGACCTCCGAACTCAGAACTCAGGAACTCAGTAGGAATTAAAATTGACTTGATTTGTTAGACGAACAAAAGTTACCCATACTCGCATTTGAAATTCAATTCATACTAAGAAATTAATTAAACGTAACAAAGCCATGAAAAGTTTGCCAATTTTTCGTTGGCCGTGGGTGGTTGTAGATACTTTGTTATATTCTTGTATTCATGCTCTATAGAACTTAATTACGTTACCATAAATCAAATCACGTTAAAGTTTAAGAACCGAATTGTTTGTGAATTTTGTAAATTAGTAACTTTTTGTTGTATTTGCAGATATTTCGCCAAATGTTAGAGCCGTCATCAAAGGACCGGCTGATCTACATTTCAAAGTTGGCAGCACTATTATACTTAATTGCATTGTGAATCAGCCCTCCGTTAGGGATGTGAGTCGATTTTATTGGTTTCGTGGTTATAAGTTGATAACACCGATTGAGACAATCGATGACGATGGCAACATCCAGCATAGCTATGATGGCTACAATGGTTACGACCAACAAAACAACAATATTCAAAAAGATTTCGATGGTTACAGACATGCCATCGGTGCTCAGCATAATGCAAATGCAAATGCTGATGATATCGATGAAAAAGCACACGAATTAACCAATGAAATTACTTTGGATTTTGCACAGCGCATCGCCATAGAATCGCATATGGGCGATACACTTAAATCAAGGTAAGCACCTTAACTAATTTCAGCTGCCAACTAATACACTTGAAGCAAAACTAATGATTCCAACAGCATGAGCTCCAACTGTATTAGTTTGAGTTAACCGTGCCTACTTTGCTAACTAAGCTTGTTGGCGAAGTTGGGTATATATCGGGCATTCGTGTGGATTTGTATGTGATATTGGACTGTGTGTTCCAGGCAATCTCACATAAACGGAAATCCACACGGAAATTAATGCTACTTACTAAGTCATTTCAATTTCTGTATCTTTTCATGTTCCTCACATATGAACTCGTTGCTCGTTGCTTATTGCTCGCTGTTCTCTGTTCGCTGCTCAATACCCTTTTGCCTGTTATTTGTTACTGTTGCTGGTGCACGTACTCGCTGTGTTTGCTATTTATTTTGACAAACGTCCTGCTCCCGCCTCAACAAACAGACTACGCATATCTAATGCACAGACAAAGGATACAGGGAATTACAGTTGTGTACCGTCAACGGCGTGCGGCGCCAGCGTCATGATTCACGTGATTAATGGTGAGTATTTTAGCCGAAAATCAAAGTTAATGTTACAGTGTAAGTGTGCGGCTGTTCTGTGTAATTATATAAGAAAGCAGGGATGTAAGACATGGATGGGAACTGGCAATGGCAATAGTTGTACGGATTTTGTGTAAACAAATTCTGCTTGTTATATCGGCACATGATTGCACTGGCGGGTACGTATCCACGTAGAAAAAGGACACGACAAGCATAAAAACTTTGCGAAATCCGAAATCCGAAATCGAGTACGGAAAGTTAAAATATTGCGAAAATCTCAAATTTGAATTTTGTCATCATTTGTCCTACGTACGCATTCACAAATCTGTGCTGCCTTATTTCGAACGGCAATGTTCATTCGTTATGCGTAACTCACATCCTGAGGATCCTTTTAAACAATATCTGATTGTCTTGTTTTGCATGAAGGAAACAAAATATAAATATTAAAATTCAAAACGAAACAAGAAAAAAGAAAATCTTAAGAAAAATTGCTTTTGAGTTATTGTGGAGTATGACAAGAGTGAGACAGTTTTTACGCCATGAACGGCAAGTAATTTTTCAACATTTTTTTTGTTTTGCTTTTTTTAATCCTTAATAGTTCTTACATTGTCAGAATGTCAACATAATATAAATTAAATTAGAGCTTAAATCAGTTTTAATAAAGAATCCAGAAAGTTTTTATTCTTCAAGCAGTGCAAAGTTGATTGTTAAGAATAAACACTCCATAGAGTCAGAATCCATAAACGTACTTCCATTCATATTATATTATACAAGAAAGATATATATGTATTTGTATATATATATATATTTGTTTATATATTTGTACATATATATTTGTATATATACATCTCCATATGCATTTTTGTATATATACATATATATATATATATTATACAACCCGACAACTAAGACAGCTTACTTGACCCTAATAAGTGCTTTAATTTCATGCTCATTATGGCTCTGTTTACATGATTATCAACTATTATACTTCATCTCTTTTTACTTGAGGAAACGCGATTTAGTGTATAAAGCACTTTCACTCAATAGTTGTTGAGCAAACACTATCCGTTAAATCTTATAATAAATGATTCAGATGATTTTATATTAGTAAAGCATTGGCATGGAATCCACCAACGGAAACGTGGAGTAGAATGGTCTAGAGTGAAATAGCTGAAGCACGACATACATGGAACGACATCTACAGAGAAACACCAAATAAAGTCATATTTAGAAGAATTATTGAGGCCCTATGCCTCACTGGAGGAAGTGGACAATAGTTGTCGTATACTTCGAAGCCCAGCACATCTTCCCGCTGGAATATAAATTGCAATTGATTTGAAAGAGTGTAATTCAGAAATAGTATGTTCAACTAATGAGACTAAAGGTACTGAGATGATGACGTGGTGTCGCATTCACAAAGTCGTTTAGCTCTTTGATATATATATCTGTTTATTTCCTAAATTCTTCTATAAACGCAAAGTCGTGATAAATATTATGATTTTATATATATCATAGTATGAAGTTCTACGCTGCCATGAAAAACTTTACTTTGGAATTTCGAACTTATTACAAGTGTTCACTTTACTGACGCATTCCCATAGATATGTTTCAGACCTATATTAATAACTGATTATACAGAAAAATCAAAAAAAAAAGTACTACTATATACAGAAGAATATAATTTTCTTACAATCTTACAGTTTTGAACTCGGAGCAGAACTGAATACAGTATTAACACTTTCCTTGAGCTTCGTGGTATACAGACTTAACTAATCTGATTTGTAGTTATATATACTCCTTTTCAACTAACGATTATGTTGATTTCCATTTCAATGCTATACTAAATGTAGGGTATATGAAGGGTATCCTATCTAGTGAAATCCTAGAATCATCAATGGAGATCCTAGAAGCCTATATATATATTTTATAATTTTTTTATTTTTTAATTACTTAAATATTTATTTTTTATGCAAAAAAAAAATCGAATAAAGTGTATGATTTTTTGTTGACTGTAAAACCTTCTAACGATATCGATTTTAAACCCAGTGAAATAATTTAGTAGAATTCTATGACCTATAATTTTCCTGATAATTATGTAGTAAAAAATAGAATAACTCTCACTACATACCGTATATTCATATATACAAAATTTTTAAGAACTGGAGAGATCAATTAAAACTCCAACGTTAGAAAGGAACTTCATTTCATTAGCACCCAATAGTGTCCAACATTATATGGAGTTAGTTATGAAAACATCTAGGCTATAAACAATAGATGCGTACGTTCTAACTGCTAATAATAACAGTAATTATTAATATTCTGTAAGACGTTCATTACTTGCAATATTCAAAATAAAAACCAGTTACTCTCTTACAAAATCGAATAGGAAATGGTGTCACTATTTCATTGGTGATAACAAGTTTAGCTATAAACTTAATGATCAAATATCAGATCATTAAGATCAAATATCAGATGTTTTTTGTTCAATTTTTTTTTGAATCTCTCAAGATAACAACCAGAATAATTGTCGGCTTTTTAGTTATAGCAAGCTTATAAGCCATAGCTAATAGAAACTGTCAAGAACTTGTTAGTCATCGTATTGATGATTCCCTCTATTATTCTAAACAGTTCGCATATCAATGTTTGTACTGAGAGGTCGGTCTCTCTTGTACGCAGTTTAGAACCTATTCTGGCCATTTTATCTGCTAGTTCATTCCCTTCAATATTGCTTTGTCCAGGAACCCAGCAAAAAGGGACCTTGAGCCGCGATATTTTAATACAATCTTGAATTTAATCATTTTAAATTCAATTGCTTTCAGTGTGGCCTGACTATCTACAAAAATCATGATATACGAAGGACGAATTGTACTTTCAATAGCATATATCTAGGCATGAAAGAAGCTGCAAGTATCAAAGAGTCGGTAGGACTGCCTTATCTGCATATCTTTCGGAAAGATATCTGCTTCAGTTTCGATTGGTAAATCTGGTAACTTTTTCAATCAAGACTCATTTTAATGCAGTGTTTATTTACCAGTGTTGTTAAATCTCGAGCAAAATGTAAAACACTTGAGATTAATTTATAACACTTAAAATATTTTGATATGAAAGAAGCTGCAAGTATCAATATTTTGATATGAAAGAAGCTGCAAGTACTACTAAAATAAATCAATATTTATTATTTATGGTATGCTTACCCATATAAATTAAAACTATGCGACGCCTCTGTTCTCCATCATACACACGGGCAAATATTGTCAAATTAGCATATTTACATTTGAAAGCAAATTTACCCACACGCATTATTAAGTTCGAACAAATGAAAACTTATAGTTGAGCTTGGGTTTCTCCTTGTAACACTGAGTAAACAGTAAATAAGAAAACCAGAACACTAAACACTAGAACACTAGAAAGTGCACAGTGTGGAGTGAAGAGTGCGGAGTGCGGTGTGCGGAGTGCGAAGTGAGGAGTTAAGAGTGAAAAGTAAACAGTTTGCGAAATGACTTATGAAAAATTGCTTAATTAACGATACTCGTGAAATAAGTCTTTCGCCAAGTCAAGTGCCTATTGTATCCACAGCATAAGTGTTTGCTTGCGTTCATTCATACTCTATATACCCGTAGTATGCACTGGTTGGAAACACTATTCCACCCACTTCAAACTCCAATACCAATCCTGAACCCACACCCAAACCCAATTGAAGCCAAGACGCCTCTAGAAACCAAAACCGAAGCCAAAATTAAAATAAAGTGTAAATTTCCACAATTCACTGTTTCAACGGGCGTGTTCGCTCGTGTTATTGAGTTACAAAATTGCGCCCTCTTCAACTTAGGAAAGTGGATTTACCTACTCATTTTATTTTCGCTTTTTCATTTAATTTTCATATTTTCATTTTTTTTCCAAAATTGTTTGCCATTTTGCTGTTTTCATGCTCGTTACGAAGCTCTTCTTGCCCTAATATACAAAAAATTTGAAGTTTATCGAGTCCATTTTTGAATTGCAGCAAAACTTTAATCCTTTATCGCATCCATAATCCGCTTGCAGAATTCGCCTTCATGTGACTGCAGTGCATGCAATTCAAACTAAAAACTCTGAAGTACCATTTTTTTTTTTTGGTAGTCGAAATCTTTTTAGTGAAATTTCAGATCACAAAAAAAAAAAAAAATTAAAAAGCTATAAATTATGGAGTGAGTGGTTTATTTGCATGTAAAAAGGATATTTCATAGTTCAAACTTTTTCTTAAATTAAAATGACTGCGTACTCGTTGCTTCCTTTGAGTTATGACTCCGCATTAATTTTTTATGCTGAAAATCATTTTAAATCTTGTCAAAATCTTTGTGAAAAAGTGTTCAACCATTCATTGTTGGATAAATGCTAACGAGATTGAAGTACAAAACTTTAAGTTTAGACAAAACCGTTCGACTTTTCTATAAGTAGAGAACTCATATCAAAGGATAAACAAGTACTCCAGTTGAGCAATGTGACGAATTTAGAGATGAGTCGGGTCAGAATAGAAAATAAAGCACTATAATAAGAAATCAATTAAGATAGATAAATTATGTTAATTTATTCAAATAAATCATTCATACAATTTTTTGTTGACAAAACTTTATTGCTGATTTAAAAGATTCAAAAAGTTGCTTCCTTATCATCAAAGCATTCATTGACGTATCACTCCTCGAAATAATTGAATAATAATTAAATTAATCTTAAAATCAATTTGATGGATGCGAATAATTAGATGTATATATGTGTATATATATATATATCTAACAAATTTAAGAATCAATTTGATGGATACGAATAATTGGAATATAATTTGTGTATATACATGTACATATATATCAAATTTAAGAATATTAATTGTATGAAATTTGGTTTATGACTTAAATTATTTGAAAGTAACACTATTGAAAAATGAAGAAATTACATATTCTGTGGGTGGACAAAATGCTGTATCTCGATTGGTACTGCAAATGCAACTAACATTATATTTCTCTTTTTTTGGACTATGAAATCATTTAACGTACTTGTGTCGATAACACCCTAAACAAGAAGTACGAGTAAGATCAGCGGATCAATTCTCAATGTAATTTAAGTTGAAGTATGTATATTGAAATTCGTAGGGTTAACTAGCCCACGCCATTCATAAACCTGATAGATCTACAGTGACACCAGACAAGAGTTCTTAAAGGTATTTAATTCTGAAACACATAACTTAAAACGTACGTGTTAAAAAATAATTTACTTTAATATCAGGATTGCACTTTAGTCAATCTAATGGGTCACTTGGTTCTATTGTACATGGTAATAGACTTTCGAACTGGTGTTGTCAATTGAAGTCGATTTTGTATTTTTTTAATTTGGTTTTAAGGCCTTTAAAGATCGTGTTAATTAATTTCGTCTATGGAACAGTCGTTTAGAGAGCAGTTGGTAGATGTACAATTCTTTACTTTAAAATTATTTAATTTACAAATATTAATCAGAAACGAAAGAAGCACACGATTAAATCCATTATTAATCGATTGTGGCAATTGAACTTCAGTTTACGCAAACGAAATTGCAAACGTTAATAGTTGACCAATTTTTATTTGCGGTGAACGAAATAATTGTTTGAGTAAGCGAAATTGTTTTCGAAATACGAAACAAGTAATTGTGAAAATCATTACTTCAATTTTGGTTAATGAGTCACAGTCCACGCAATTAAGATTAAAAACGAAAAAGAGATAATCAACTTTGCATTTGCGATAAACGTAAAGTACCGATTGGCTACAACAACTGTTCCTTTAATTATGTTAATTAAGATAAAGTGAAAAACAATTAACCATTTTTTCATTCATGTTGAAAGATATAATTTTTTAAGAGTGTACTTCGTTTTTAGAACACAAATTGAATATTGGTGCCAACCATTTTTTTGATTGTGATGATTGAACCATTCTTCACGCACTCGAAACTAGTAACGAAAAATAGTTAAGGACAATTTCACTTGTAACAGCAACATAAGTTCAGTTCACGCATTTAAGTTTACAAACGAAAATCAGTTGACTAATTTTTCGTTTGTGAAAAATGAAATGGTTTTTTGAGTGTACAGTTTATTTTAAAGATATGAAGTAAAAGAAGATACTACACTGCGGTTCACGCAATGAAATTTGAAACGAAAAACAGTTGACCCATTTTTTATTTATTGAGAACGAAACAAATTTTTGAGTGTTCAGTTTTTTTAATAGAAAATTATATGACGAAATTTTAGTTAATGGAAATAATATTAAAAACGAAGAAGAGTTGACCCATTTTTCGTTTACGGAAAACAAAAGATGCACCTCGTTTTGAAAAAATCAAGAAAACGAAGTACCTGAACTTTAATTTACGTAATTAATATTTGAAACGAATAATAATTGACCAATTTTACGCAAAAAGCGAAACAGTTTTCTCAGTGTAGATATTGTACTTTTTAATTCCTTATATGTTTCATGTAGGTGGACTTATCGAAATAGGTATTTGAGTGTTACGAGGTAAGTATTTACTAGGTTCCGGATCACAGAAAAAGCTTGGGAAGTGAACAAGCTGATGAACTGCTTCAAAAACTGCTTTTACAGGCTCTCAGCCCTTTCTTGGGATAAATTAAGAGAGTACAAAGCAAATAATCAAGGAGAATCAAGGAGTGGGAGAATTATATGCGGCTGGTGTATAGGAAAGATTTCACAAAACTTAGTCAAAACAAAGCACTGATCAAACCGTACGCCTACAAAAACTGTCTTAAATACTCAATATACCATATACTTTAAGGTTGATAACAGGTTTCATTACAGAACATTATGGTTTGAAATATTACCTTCATAAACTACGATTATCTGTTAATTCAGAACGCAGATCATGGGTCGAAGATGAGGAAACTACTATGTATATTCTTTGTGACTGTCTAGCTTTAATACTCGTAACGCACAGAAGAAACTTATTTCATAAGGAATTTTAGTCACCAGTACAGATTAAAAGCTCTTCTCTAGATTTAGTTCTGGACGTTGTTTACAAAGCTTTAAAGGACATTGTGTAATCAGTAGTGAAATTGATAAGATGGGACTGCGGCCAGAACGCAGTACCAGCTGTTGGGTGATATTGCATGTCATTTACCAAATAATTTTTAAGTAATTCATTTAACAAAATTTTTCACATATTTTATAAATCAACTGCTATGAAAATGTGGTATTATAGTACAATTTAGAAAGCCACAACCAATATGATTTAAATTTTGGTATGAAAAGAATTTTTCTTTTATTTTTTTTGGAAGAAGGATATGAATTCCTAAGGACTGTTGAGTTCCATCTTATCATTCAAAAAATCGGTGCGGAAGCACTAAATTATGTAGTACCAGGCCGGATTGCGTACAAAGCGCAATTTAAATGTTCACGCATTGAGTTTAACTGCTTTTCAGCAAAATATGTAAATTTATTTATGTAACAGCAATAATATTTGTCATAACATTTGTTCTGCTTATTTTTTATTTTCCAGATGAAAATCCTGCCGCAATGCAAAAAGGTGCTGCGGTTGGCTTGTATGGTTTTTCTGCACAACAGGCAACTTTGATGCTTGCCATTGTTTATTATTGCCGCACTTTAGCCAACAATTTTATTGTTGGTGTTGATGTTGCCGTGGCTTCTGCTGCCGCTGCTACAATTGCTAATTTGGCCGTTAACGTTCCAAGCGGCAAAACTATGGCACTTCTCACTGTTCCTGCTACTGGAGGATATGACATATTTACGCGCATTGTCGAGCTCGTAAGTAGCTGGTATTGCGATTGCGATGGCGATGTTGTCGTCGTCCTTGCACTCCCACACATTTTAATCCTAATCATCATATTCCTGGTAAAGGCGAAGGCATTTTCTATTGCGTCGGAGTTTTTGCATTCTGTGGATGCTGGCGTAATACCAAGATAAAAAGCAAGAAAATAAAAATGAAAGTGAAATGATTTCTACTTTCCTTATTTATTTCCTTTTTATATGTACGCTATCATTTTTCGTTATTATTTCCTTTTATTTGTATATCTTTCGTTATTCTCTGTTCTTAGAGAAATATTTACATCTCTTATTATATACAAAAAAAATAAAAAAAAACCAAAAAAAAAAATAAAAAAACAAAAAGAATATTAAATTTTTATTGTAAACATTTTGTTGAAAATAAAAAAGGATAAGTAAAACAATAAAAAAAAATAATAAGGAAAAAACATTTTAAATGAGAAAACATAATATTTTTACGTAAATAATTTGTAGTTAACTAAAAAATGGCAACACTTTGTAAATATCATGGCGCTTAATTGTTAATTTATTCCAATTTTTATAAATTCATTGACAGGCAAAAGAAGACTCACCCACTCACCCACTCACACACTCAAAAACTCAAATGCTCATGTATGTTATCCTTGAGTCCTACAAGTCTAAGAACAACATTTTCAGCTCATAATCAAACACATACAACACATACACTGAAACATAAAATGCTAAAGTGTAAGGAAACTAAGAAAAACAGATAAAGTAAGAGGAATAGAAAAATAAATTCATATGAAAAATAAAACTAAAAGGAAATAATAAATAATTAATAAAAAAAGATATACTAATGCATAAAAAAATTCAAAAAAAAAAAAAAATACAGAAAAATTCAATGTCTTATTGTATGTGAACTTGTAGTAAATTAACTGCAATCAGTGTAACTAAGTAATTAATTAATAAATTCTATCAATTAATAAAAAATACTTCAAACTCTTTTAATCACTTCCACATATTATTAACGTAAGTATTCGCCATCCGAGCCCAACATTGTTAATCATACAACCGCAAAAAGATATATTTCTGTTCAGAAAAATAGTTGACTCTACTTATTGAAACTATCAAGAAACACTTTATATAGTGCCTATAGTGAAGAGAGTTCAGATCCCATGAAACATGCAAAATACAACCTTGCTCAAAGAGTTGAGTACCAGAACCAGACTTATAGAAATAATCCACAATATTAACAAGTATATGACTTACTTCACTCACGAGATTAAACAAAATCACGCACCGGAACGAATAATGTAATAATGTATCCTGTGATATAAGTTGCACAGATGTTTTTAATATTAGGAATTCTCTCCCGATGAATTTACCGAGATACGTATAGAAATATATTAATATATATTATAAGGCTCGAAATTGTTGTAAAATAAAGTCGTATAAATACGACTCTGTAAATATTTGTTATAATGCAAATATGTTGAATAAAGAGCGAGTCAGTCAAAGTTAGGCTGTCGTAAATTAAAGACGTATTATTCATACAATGATGCAAGTCATATAGATAAAAATAACATAACAAAAATAAAAGTAAAAATTATTATAAAAAACAAAACCGACTTTAAGTGCATATATAGACCACCACCACAATTTGACCAAACTAAAGAAATGCATCTTACAAAAAGAAGATCTTCACAAGATCTTTAGTCCTGTACGAGTTGGAGATAATACTTATCACGAAATTGAACTTATATTATTCAACGAATTAACCTCCAGCGGATTTATTAAATTAATCACACAGTGAAGATAGATGAAAATGTTCTAACAAAACAGATGTTTATAGGAAGCGATAGTTGTAGGAAGAAAGCATAGAGGTAGATTGTGTCTCTGATAACCTGATAAAGTTAAAAAAGCATTCATCGCATTTAATGTACGAGACTGGAAAAGACGCAGCAAATGCACCTGGAAAGACAGGCATCATCAGGCAGAAAGCCGGTATCAGGTTTTATAGCCAAATAAGTGAGTAAAGAGCTGAAGAAAAATGAATTAAGTCAAGTACTGCCAAATACTAATTTCAAAATCTTTGCTATGAGATTTCACCCAACGTTGTGAAAATCAATGATGTCTAATAAATAGCTAATAAGCCGTTTAATTTTTATAAACTCTGTATATGCTTTTCTAATAACATTATAATCCCAGTATATATATATATATAAAAGCAATTGGTCTTAAATAAAATTTGTGTAATGCTATGTTTAGACTAAGACTTATTCAACATATTTAGCATATTTTCATATGGATTTTATGTCTACGTTATGTAAGAAATGGCACATATTGCTGCATTTGAATATAGCATAAGAGATATATAAAACTAAAGATTTAATCAAAGCGTAAGTTACAGTTTTGCGAACAAAATCTGAATGCAAAATATCGATATACCAATTTTAAAGGAGTTCCTACAGCAAAATATCCAATTGAAGAATGACGGCGTTTCTTTTATGTCTTTAGCAAATGATATAAGTTTTCTATTGACCTAAGGTTAAAAAATTTTTATTAAGGTCTATGCCTATCAATTAATGGTATTACTTGATCAACGTATAAAACTCAAAGAACTCCAAATAAGGCTATATGAAACCACAATATTGAGTGATGATTACGATAGTACATTGCTACCCATTTACTAGATAGCGTAAGTATTGACCATTGATTGAAAACGAAATTGTATAAAGATTTTTTAAACTAGATTCAGACTATTTAAGCTAAACAAAGTATGTATCTATTTGTTAAGGCACATTCCATACATTTAAATATATTTATATATAATTAAATTTTTAAATCGCATAAATTTTTACTGTGGTACGTGAGCTGGGTACAATATCAGCTCCATATCGAGAATATATATGCAACTTCTACCAAAAGCGTTGCGATTTATATACCGAACTTATAGTTCAGGATGACGATTAATCATATATTAAATTCTAAAACACTTATCTTATATGTGAGAATGCAGTATATATGGTATTTTGCCAAAAATATGAACAGAATAGTGTTATTATATAGCACTTCGAAAATCATTAGCAGGTACATCTTTGCTATCAAAATTTTCATTATCGCATCGAGTAAACCGCCCCCGGGTCCAGCGTTAGCTCAGAGCATTCTTACCGTAAACCGCATGAGTTTTTCGGCATAGTTTTGCAACAATTTCAACTATTTATAGTATTAAAAAAAATCTACTATAAAACGTATTTCTTCAGACAATTAAACCATCTTTAAATCAATATAATTTTTAACAGAAACGATTAATGATACCAACCTTTCAATAACATGTTCGCTTGACATAATCGGTGCAGTGTTACAAGATATATCGTTACCAATACCATATAATGGCAAAAAGTGTGGATCTATCTAAATTATTAGGTGGAACGCCCTTTTGATGTCGAATTGATGGGTATTTAAGTAATAAGGTTTTACAGCCAGACACATTGTTGAATGAAAATAGCATCTAATTTGTCCAATAATTTGATACCAATAGCATTGACGAACAAAATTGGGAAGTTGACCCTTACTGTCGGATCTCAAGATTGACATTATCCAACCTCCATAAGAGACGTACTAGCCGGCTGCTTCAACTAAAGCGTAATCTACTCAACGCTTTGGTATCAGTGCTAAAGGATGACTGCATACGAGGAAAGCATGATATGTGACTAGGTCTACCTTTTTCCATGGTTATTGCTCTGCGGATGAGAAGGAAACTATACACTACCTCATGTATCAGCAGCTTTCATTCTGCAAAATTTGTGACTTGGCCAACTTTATAGAATTATCAGGTTGGTTCACTTTCATTCTAATAGAGAAGTCGTGCTTTAAAGTTTTGCTTGTTATCAATGGTGCTATAATGGGCCATTATTTGGGCTCAAAAGAGGTTTGAGCACAAGGTCGCCATTCCAGCCTAACTTAATCTAAGTTTAAGATTTTCTGAGGCGCTTTAAACAATGCCGTGTCTATATCATATCTTCGTTTAGAGTTTAATTTTAGATATTGACATCATATATTTAATGGAATAATATTGAAATGAAATGAAATTTAAATTATTTAAATATAGTATGTTTTCCATTGCATTTTGGCCTTAAATTCTACACAAGTACAATAGATACACTATTCTAAAAAATTCAAATACTTTAATTATGCATTATTAAAATAAATTTAGAATTACAGTAACAAAGAGATAGTTGTTAAAACAGTTTGTGTGTAAAATAAATAGGAAATAACAAAATTTATAAATATCTGTAATAATAAAATTTTGCATTTAATGCGTCATTAGCCTTCCAGCGATAGAATTTAATAAATTTTATAAATGTAACGAAAGTATTTTGCTATTTATTCAATTTTTTTAAGTTAATAAATGATACTGAATTTGAGTTTTTATAACCAACATATCCGGTATTCCACGCGAAATCATACAAAAAAAAATGCCTTTTTAAAGGTTGCAAAACAAATTTAAATAAAATACACATTTACAATTTCATATGTGATTATTTGCTTTTTTTTTAAATACATAACATTTTTTGTGCAGTAACAAATCCCTTTGCCTACATTAATTTTACTATTAAAATCCGAAAGCCGAAACGAAAATGCAAATAAGCATACAAATTAATAATATCAATCATACGCTCCGTATGCCAGGATGATAATACAATATTTAATGCTGTCAGATTCACAAAAATGTCTTTAATAGTGTGATATATGAACCAGCTGTGCTTATTATCTGAAAGAAAGAAAAAAGTTACCGATATAAGAATAGAATGCCAAGAAATCGTTTGGGACAGAAAAAAGAAAAACAAAAAAAAATAAAGGAACGCTGTTGTCTGTCACTATAGACGCAATGGAAGAAAATTCTGAAACTGTGGAGGAGAGAGTTGGCAGGACGACAAAGACAAACGGAGCAACAATACAGAGATTGGGACTGAGAAATAAGCATTTATTATCATAATCACACAATAACAACATTTAACCTGAACAAAACGCAATCATCAACGGCACGTCGTCGTCACAACCACAACCGCAACCACAACCGCAATATACAACTCAACCATCAACAGGACTCAACAGACGAACAGCGTTCAAACGTTAATCATAAGGCTACATCGTCAACTGCAACGACATAATAATAATGAAGGAATACCTAGTACTTACCGAACTGAATGCCGACAGCGATGGCGTAAAAAATGGCACCGCAATTGTCTTCGCCTTTTGTGAGCGTCGCAATATCATTAAAATCATTTTTCTAGTTTCCACGTCGCATTTGTACCATGCAATGTCGTACACCGTGTTAGCTACCTCCAGGCTCTGTTTACACGCCGAGTGAATGGAAAACAACGGAAGGCGAAAGGATATGCAAATGCGAAAGGTAAAATATTAACAATTATTGTAATCAGTCGACAAAGCCAAAAAAGATGGTCAGGAAGTATAATTATGTACTCATGTATTGTATAATGGTATAATGGGTTCGATATGTTTCTATGCAAAATAGTATTAAACTTAATTGAAGAACTTTAAACATTTATTTATACATCAGAAATCCATCAAAAAAAAAAGAAATACCTTGTATCCAGTACATGAAAAATTTATATTTTGCTAAGCTTATCTACTTTAAATGTCGATTCTTAAATTAAACCATGCTTCTTAATAGAAATTATAGTTAAATAGAGAGACATTTTACCATACCGTACTGAGTACGGTCAGTTAAAAATTCAATTAATTTATAAATAATAAAATTTTGTTATTTCAATTCACTACTATTCAAAATATCTCTCTATAAAGATGATAGTTTTCAAAAAGAAAAATGATATCTTTCATTATAATTGACCTTAGAAATCAAATTTAAAGACACTAAAAAGTGAGGATCAAACTGACACAATGTGTCTTTTGCAGATGAAGACAACTCTACAAAGTTTTAATTCTTCACAGTCTTTAAAAAGTTTAACTGATAAAATCTATAATTAAAAGACAACATATCAAATATATGCTGCAAAAATTTCAATCGAGTTGCCTTTGAAAATTTGTTATCTTCATATTATTATAAGAAAAATTGAATTTCATAAGAAATCATTTCATATATTTTTTACTTAGTTGTGTTTACCAAAAATTTGAAGTAAAATTTTTTAATAAAAGTTTTTTTAGTGAAATACTTCAGATATCAAAATCAGTGAAAAAAAATTTGTGTTTTTGTGATTAAAATTAAAAGTCAATGGCAGAAAAAATGCAAAATGGAGCTGTGCTCCTTTTTGCATTACAAAAATGCGGGGGCGCAGCCACCACACCCCAACTAATTGAGAAAATATGCGACCTCCTCAATGTAAGTAGAATAATCATTTAATTTTTTATCTATTAATAAAAGGTTATAAAAGCCAAATAAATAAATTGCAAATGAATTAATTCTACTTCACATAACATTGTGGTCGATACTTACAAATATGATTAAAAAAATTAAACCTTAACTACAAAATGGTCGGAGTGACAAAGATACTTCATTTCTATTAGTCTTCGCCATTAAAAAATTTCTTAAAAAAAAAAAACTAATACAATTTTTTAAAAATTTTGACACTTAAGTCCAACAAAGCAAAAAAATTCACATTTTGATCAGAAAAATACTGAAAACGTATCATATTACCGTACATTTAGATATGAAATTTAGTGTTTCAATTAATATCCGTTTTATATCCTCCCAGTTTTTGTAAGGCTATCTATGTACATATAATCATAACCTACATTTTAGAAACAATTTTCTTTATTTATAGTGCACAATAACTAGTGTGGCCCCAACCGTTAGAGCGATGATTAAAAGATCTTTAGAACTTGGATTCATTCAGAGACGTGCTGGGCTTATCACAAAATGCAATGTTGCTGAAAGAATTCGAGCCAGAAGGAGGGAAATAGATAGAGAGCAAAGACAGCAGAGTAAGATTGCTAAAAAAAGAGCGGCTAAGGTAAAGAGAAAAAAAAATAGAAAAAACAAATATAGAGCTCCCAGTAAGCCAAAACGTAAGAAACGTGGAAAAGCCGCTAATTTAAAGCAAAGTCAGAGTTTCTCAGTGGCGCCAAAAACTGCAAAGAAACGCAAGCCTCCAGGACCAAAAGGTAAGAAGCGCAATAAACGTGGATTACCTCCAAAAAAAGGTGCTAATCTGAAGAGAAAACCAGCAAAGAAGCGCGAAGCTAAAAAGCGTAAAGCTAAGCGCGCTAAAAAAGGTAAAAAGTAAGAAAAAGAAAGCCAAAAGGTAGGTTTAATTATTGTATTTCAAAGAGTGATTTTGGTAAATTATAAAATAAATTATTTATTTATTCCAAAGACAGTACCCACCCACCCAGCAGTTCAAAACTATGACATCTAAGATAAGAGACCATGAAAGGTAAGGAATTCAATTTTCCCACACTTTTCCACTTGAAGACTTAAATAGTTGTTCCAAAAATTGACAAACCAACGTAATTTATTCGATTCACTATGAAAGATGAAACTTCTTGATTTAACAAATTTGTTAGTATAAATAATTATTTACTCGTAAACTTAATGTATGAGTTTAAGGAGTATTCTTACTACTTAGTGCACACTTAAGTCAAATAAATATTAAGTAGGCGTTATTGGACTATGAAGTATTACTAAAATCCAGATAATGTCACTTAAGAGTCAATTTGAAACTTAAATATTTACTATATAATTTACTTCAATTCTTCTTATGAGGGAGTGCTGATATCATGTCAATATCACTTCTGTAAGACCACTAGGAATAACTCATATATGTCATTAAAACACAATGTGACTTTCAGCACAAAAGATCTCAAAGTCGTAGTGTAAGTCCCCTCCTCATAATACTTAATAAGTATACATTGATATAAAAATATTTAAGGCTTAGTAGTCATACTATTAAATAATTTTAGATCACCTCTTGTTCATTCCTTGATTTCATGAGTATGAAATATTTAGAAGTCGCTTATTATGGAGTGTATTATATAAACACATATAAACCCGACCAATATTGTTATAAATTTTATTAACCAATTTATTACAAAGGTGTTTTTACAGAGTAAAAGGGCATGGGTGGACGTCGCTGTAATGAAAAATGAACTGCGCAAGGGTAATTTGATTTTGCTTTATGTAGACTTACCAAAAATTGAGTTCACGGTCATAATCAAATCATTACACATATAGATCTTGGGTCAATAACTCGCTGAAGATGAAACTGGTTGTAATTTATGATAATGTAATACCAATAGCATTCTCACAAAACCCAAAAAACCTTCAAAACAGGGTCTATCAGACCAATACTTATAGTGTTGAATAGCATCTTTCAAACAACACAAGAGGAAGAACTAACTTGAAAACTTTCGGTGACAAAACAGCGGCATTGCGTTTCAATAAGATATGCCTCCAAACACTAACATTGGAATTAGTGCATAAGACGGACCCGTGTATTCCTTTTCTATGAAATTCAAGAGACTTAAGGATTTTACACACCATCCTAAGAACATGATAGTATTTTTATAATATTTTAGATGGCAAGGGATGGTTGGCATGAGGTCTACTTTAGAACCTGAGAGTTAGTGCGTAATTATTCGTCACTGTATTGGTATATCACATCAATTGATGAAAGCATATAGTTAATGTTTTGTCCACATAGTTTAAATATATTTAAAGGATGCCTGCACTTTGTGTCGCTCACTTCACTATATGGACCTTTTCCAACTGCGAAATGTGTTATTATTTTAATACACCTAAAACACATGTATTCGACTTATCGTCACATGGGTAAGTGAAACAAGTGAAATTAAAAAGGTTCAGTATTCAGAATAGTATGATAATTATTTACATTGATTTTAAAAAAGATATAGATGCACGGAAGTCCCAATCAAACTCAATGGTGGGGGCACACAGTGTTGGTGCTATATATATGTTGTTGATAAAAGAAATCTTATAAGGAAATGACGTAAGATCTCATATGCGGAAAATGCCTTAAGAATAAATTAATCTCAAAAAGTATTCTTCCGGCTTTCAAAATTTTTGGTTTGAGAAAAATGTAAACACTAATGTAAATAACCTTTTTTTTTCATAATGTTTTTTTTTTTTGGTTTAATAAAAAGATTGGAAAAAATAAATATACATGAATTTTTCATGAAGCAGAAAATAATTTGTACATCCTTGTATATATATTCCGAGTAGTTTAATACAATAATTTTGCAATAGTTTGCCTATTATTATTTTTTCCTATTTATTTTTTTAATTAAACTTTATTTAAAAGTACAAGAAAAAAGTTTTCTGAACAAAAATTTATCTTCCTATTGTTTAAAAGGTTTCAACGAGAAGAAATTAACATAACGGATCATTGAAATTGAATGAAACAGAAAGGTGCCGAAGGCAGAAAGTCCATTCAGTTTCAAAGACATTTTTAAAGTCTCCATAAAAATTAGGGTTTTAAGTGTGAACTAAGATTTCAGACGCGGGAATTACTCAAAGTAGAGACTCTAAATAAGGACCTCCAAAAGAAATTTTTCTATAAAAACGATCATCCGTTTTATTTCAAGAGAAAAACATTTATTTTTAGTGTGATGAGAATAAAAACTCTTTCTAGCTCTAAAAACATTAATTCAGTTCGGATAATTTGTTTTCAATAAATAATAATTACGTATCCCTTAGTGTCGCTCTTTACATTTTAAACATATTGTCTTTTTGTGTTTTGAAGAATCGAGAAGAAGATAATTTGTCAGTCAACTTGTTTGATTTTGGGAAATAATGATTATCGGGACAAAAACAAGATTTAAACAGATTTCATTTTTTTAATGCCTTACAGTTTTAATGTTCAAAATTCAGGGGTTGAAAGACCCCTTAAAATTGATAAAGACAAAAGAAAGGCATTGATTAATGCTAACCACTAAATAATAACTCTGAAAGATTATATTTATTGAATTCGGTCGTACTGAGCCAAGTGAAACTCAACATATGTGCTTGGTGAGACAGTTTGCCTCTCTCTCCTCCAGTTGCATTAATAACTGTGATTGACTTCACATATGTTAAGAAAATACTATATTTTTGAGGCAAATACTAACCGGACAAGAAATATATTTTCTAGATAAGTATTAAATACACAACATCATGGAACAACATCAAGAATCAGTAGCGGTTTTTAAGAAGAGCCGCATGGAATAATATTCTTACTTGTGACGTCACTTATGCTGTTGTGACATCATCTTGTATCAAAAATTTTAGAATGTAAATTATTTGATAAGATAAATAATTCTCATACCATAGTTTTTTGTTTGTTAGAAAAATAAACGACAACTAGATATGTTTTGCCAGTCAGCAAATACTAACATGGGATCTGAGTTTTCGTCAGAAATTTGAAATACAAATTATTGGAGGAGTTAGTGATTAGACAATTATACCACAATTAGCTACAAAAATATCTTTATGAAATCCCGTTTTACAAAAAAATTGACAACTCAAAATTTAATTAAAGAGCGATTAAAGCTGTCAATTGTAGACAGGATGGATTACTCATACAAGGACATACCATGCAATAATAGTAGATGTATTACTTAATCTTAAGTTTCTATAATCACGTCGTAATCACATGAATTATATGTGATAGTCAAAAACATATACATTAAGCCAAATGACCATAAAACTAAACAGCTCAACTCAAATTTTGTAGGGTGTCGCAGTAGAAACAGCATAACCGATTTAGCCTGCAGGTACAATAATTTCGTGTCGTAATTAAAATTTTATAGGTTAGAATATTGTTTGTGTTGCCACTGTTAGGAATATTTCCATGTAGTCGTGTTTGGAGTTCAGTGTTTTTGTTGTTATTGTTGCATTTATCTCACTTTAATTGATACTGACACTTTCGCTCACATAATTGCCGCCTATGCAGTAGAGGA